TGATATGGTTGAAAACTGATTCAACAACTGTGTTCTCTAACTACAAGAGTTTGCTTTGAGCTTTTTCGGTTAGTGCAAAAGGCTGGATTCGCAAATTTTCCCGTGGTAGGTACCGGAAAGGAATCGTGCTACGTATAGGCAGTGCGACAAAGGTTGTTTGTAGATATTTCTGGTATTACTGTGACTCCATGCACCCCAGGTCTAATTCTCAATCGAACCAGACCCCTACCCTCTATTGCCCCTCAAATCAAATGCATATGCTCCTCCTGGTGACACGTATAATTATCTAGAGGGCATATACAACTGAATTCGGGGCTGGGGGTTAGCTAGGCAGAGGCGGCGGTACGAGTTTTTGCCATGGGGGCGGAGATCTGCTCACCAACCTTGCGCCGAAGGTGTGACCTTACTTGAGGGTCCGGCATGCTCCCCTTAAAAATGTTAAAATATAGACCCTCTGAAACACCATTTACTTATTTTGAGGGTCATTTTTCTGACACAAAGGGTTTCAGGTAGATTTTGGAGGGGCGTCGGACAACAGCTACATTAGTGACTCCTTGATAAGTAGGCTGTCGATGTTTTCACAGTTTAGGTTTGTAAGCTTCTTTTCCGGTATTTTTGTTTTACAGGGCTAAGTAGTCATACACCAATTGTAGTGGACGAAATAAAAAGTTTTGCGACCCCCCCCTTCTCTCCCATGTCTTCAATATTATTTGTGTCCTGCTACCGTCGTTGTGTTTCCGTCAAAACAACTCTATCCAACATCAAAATAAACCGATTGTTTGTGCCTACTGTTCTCTCCATCCTCAATTCAAATTATTCCTTTTATGGGGATGCCCGGTGGCCGAGGGGAAGACGTGTAGTGGCGTGAAGCTAGGCGATTAGGTGCCGTACGCGAGCGCCGGTTCGAGTCACGCACGCAGTACGTATTTACTATAATTAGACATAGTCTTTACCTTGCCGTTTATTCGGTGTTATTTGCTTACTCAATTCAAATTAGTTGGGAGGACTGCGAGACAATTAAAGACGCCATTCTGATGATACGAACTATAAGTCATTGTCGACTTGCGCAAGGTAAATACAGTATCAAAGAAAGTTTTAAAAAAACTTCCGTGTTCTGATAGTAATGGAGGCATATTTAAAATTACTAAAAGCGAGAAGCTCGGCGACTATTACTACGCACAGTGTTGTTGGTTTATAATACTAGAAAACAGTTTTGATTGTACGTGTGTGGTTTGCAGTCTGATGTATTCCAGAGCACCTCTGCCACAAGTTCAAATTAAATCTGCTAGTAAAAAATGGATAGTCAATACGCATGTTTTTTAGCATTAAACCATAGACCCTATGATTAAACTGATCACGTCTGTGGATTATTGTGATGATTATGTATATTATGCAAATTAGTTAATACCAAGTCTTGCGCGTTCAAAGTTTGTGCGATGTATGAGGTTATTAACATGCACAGATTTTAACCTAAAACTAACCAGGTAACTAACATTGTGCTAGAGCATATATTAAACAAGTGTCTTTGAAACGTGATGATTAGTTCTTGAGATATCAGTGAAAAGCTGAAAATTTCTAAGGAAGCACACAAGATTTGAAGGTTGCTTGAAGGTTTTTAGTAAATATACATGTAATCTCACAAAGCTAATTTGTTCCTACTAAAATCACTACGGGAAATCACAAAATTTTGGGTGTAGGCTCTTGACAGTCAGGTAGGTGTCTCCTCTGCTTAGCAACCGGGTGTCGCCTTATATCAGCAGACAGACAATTTTTCACAAAAAAAGAGCCGTTGACACTTTCCCAGTTTTTCCATGGAGTGCGAATACAGGTCACAGCTTGGGTAATAAAGTCGCAGCTTGCCCGGTAATAACATTTCAAGAATATATGAAACATCTCCAAACAAGTGTAATTCTAATTTAGTAAGTCAAATTGATATAAGTATAGATTGTATTATTTGTGTGTCGGCAGGAACCCACAAATGATGTGGAATGTACTAGTATTTTGGCTTTGTGATATTAACGGCCAAGCCCAGAGAGCAAACAATTGGACCAGGTCCGGTGTGTCTCTGTCTCAGTCTGTATGTAAGGTAAAATCACGTGATCCAAATTAATACATCACATGACTCAAAACACCTTTTATGATAGGACAGTTATTCAATACCGTGTCACCCGCATAAGTTTCCCGAAAATACGTTGAATAAAAATATAAAAGTGATTTTAGAATCCTCCACCATTGTGGTGAAATGCTCTATATGCTGATTTGTCGCAGGTGATAATGTTTTACGAATTATATTAGTACACGTGGTACCATACACTGTCAGCTGCCCGTATACCACATACTTGCTAAAAGCGACACGGATATTGTTTAAGATACCACGCTTGTTGATAGCAATGTGAAGATACGCTTGATATTGTTTCAATATAAGCGTCACTCGTGGAAATCCTGACAACGCCCATGATGGGTGACCGTACGAGCGATATGACAACGTGAAGTGTATCACATTTTGATTTGAACTATACGCATAGGAGGCTACGTGAAGTCGTTCAGTTTCATTTAAGACCACATCCTTTATTTGTATATTTACGTTTCATGCAAGTTTATGCTCATCTGAATAATTGTATATTGGCCGCCACGATGTTTCATCCATAGCCAAATAGTGAAAAGCGCCAGCACGCGGAGAGATCTGACAATGATGATAGAGATACAACGATGCGATGTCATTATTTGGGTTTCTATTCTAGAATGCCTGACCTGAAATATACAAACAAATAGCAACGAAGTATAATATAGATAATGGTTTGTGCAACAATTTGGTAACTATCATAAAAAAAAGGCAATATTTTCTTCAAACATGTTTATTTTTCGGTAATCGCAGAAGACTAATAAACTTGAAATCTGGGTTTCACTCAGTCGTTTAAATAAATAATAATTCTTACATTTCATATATCTATTAATAGTTATCATTATAATAATGTGTGGTTTATTATTGTACAGCTCTATATTAGGAGGTAACATTTTATATATATAATTTAAAATTTGTATCAAATTGTTCTAGATATTGGTTTATGATTTATATATTTTGGTCGTAAATATTCTAAAACTAGTTTATACCATCATTCAGTCAGTGCGTTGTTTGGGTGTTTCTATTTTAAAACTATTTGTGGATAGCTCTAAGCTGTGTTATGCTATGGAATTTAACCACTCTATTTTTTTTTAATTTGAGACCGTCGCTTGGCAATACTGTACACCGTTTAATAAATATGTATGTTACTGATAGTCAAATAATTTACATAAATATTGAACCCTGTCGTCTGTGTGTCTCGCATGGAACATTATGTGTCAAAGATTGACACGTGACATGTACAGCTTGCACATGTCAATGTCTGTATGCCGGGTTATGTGACATCGTGTATCACGATGAAGCAACCTCATCGATTCTCGGCAATTGTAACTCATCATTGGAATATATTTATAAAATTCTCCGAAAAATCAGGAGTAAAACATAATATTCACCTATGTTTTTCAGTTTATAATGAGAAGAAATACGAAAATGTGTAAAGTTGACTCTGTGTTCAAAAATGGTTTAATTTAGTTTAAACTTGTTATAATCATGTAGCTTATTTTTTACCGTTTCAATACCGTTGACAGCCAGGCTATAAAACAGATTGTTTGTTTAAATTCGGTTTTGAATTAAATAGAGCCGCGGCGTGTCTCGACTCAAATTTGTGGCATGGAATCATGTCACGGACAGTTAACAGAACTTCGAGTAACGGGTCACCTGTGTTTTTTGTTTTTGTTGAACGTTCAAATTTATTAAATCGAACTTCAATTATCAGTCACCCGGACATCGAATTACGAGAAATATACAAAACATAACAAGAAATATATGTTGCCCGTACAATAAAAATAGATGTTGCCTGTAACTCGAAGTTCTGTTATAACTGTTAATTGAACATCGAATTATAATTTGGGCGTGGTTTCTGAAACATGGGCGTGGCCATTTTTGTAACTCGATGTTCGTAACTTGAACGATTCCGCACCTTCCACTTGATCGTGTTATTCACGAGAGTTGAGTTTTAAATATGGTTACAATTCGTCGGTAACGAATTCGGTCGCTGCCCGGGGGTACTCCCATAGTTGACATATACGGTTATGCGTGGCTGTTTTGACCTCCATTTTTACGTTCGAGACAATCTTTTGATCCCTAATTTTAGGATTTTCGGTAATTTTTTTAGCCAAACGCGTCATCAACGTCGATCTTTTTGGGTCCAGATTTCAACTGACTGAGGACTGTGAGGAGCACTCCCACCCAAAATCTGCTAAGTCCGGTCGCCGGCGTACATGATGAGAGGTGTTGTCCACGAGGGGGCATACATAAAGAACGACCAGAATATATTACTCGTACATCGAGATTCAATTGAATATAATTGATAAACAGACAAAATATCATTTTAAAGAAAGGTTAATGTATTTAACATTAGAGAGTGTTATCATCTAACATCCAGATGTAGTGTAGCGGGTGTTGGCGTTACACGATGACATGTACGTAGTTAGAATAATTGATAAGGAATTCATAAACTTTTTACACATACGACTCTATAGTAATCTAACATATACGAATGTAGGCAATCGACCCTAACTATGGTACTATTTATATACTACTATATAATTAAACACATAGTGCACACCTGATATTTACATTACAAATGCAGTCTAATGGACCGTGACCTGAACATATTATCCTAAACAAAAACGCATCTCTTAGAAGTATGTTCATTAACAGTTGTGTATACTAGTAACAATTTAACACAGTCAGCGTGATATCGTTCTCTAATGGTTTAAAAAACGTCACAACTTTATATATTTTAAGACGGCTACTATTCAAGTACCATCGCCAGAGATCGTATGTTGCTAATATATTCATTGTAATTTGAAGAGTCCTGAGTGACCCTTGGATCAATTCTGCCGGTCGACGCAATGATTGATTATACGCCAGCGGCTTATGTCGCCTTCCTCTTCCCGTGACCTTTCACCTTGCCGGCGTAGTAGGTATGGTAGAAAAAGTTTGCAAACAGTACAAAGTATGACATATATAAGGCTAATGAAATGTAGGTATGCGCATCCGTAGTGGAACAGTACTCGCCATGGTTACGGTAAAAGTGCGCGTATAAGTTTACCACACACGCTATGACCATTTGAATCACCTGTAACGCGGTTATGGATATATTGACGTACAGGGGGATTTTGAACATTCCCGATGCTCGACATCCATAGTAGAGGTACATTACTGCGTGTACCGTGTAGTTCATTGTCAGGAAATAACGTCCCTGTGCGATAAAATGCGCGTAGCTATACCAGGCGTAGATCAGCACAGTTACGTGGTGGTACCAGTGCAAAAATATCAACCGCTGCTTCCGCAATATTATGAAGACCGTGTCGCCGAGTTCGGGGAGTTTACTCACGATGAAAGCCCATGCCCAGAAACCACTGATGCCGGTATAAAAAATCGGATCACACATAGATGCTTTCCAGCCATACTTTGTAACAATATACGTATATTCCTGCCAAAGCCTGACGGCCCCCATTGAGCTGAACACCGCTAAGGTGATGGACCATATCGTTAGAGCAGATCGTAAATCATACTTAGGTCGTGTCTGCATATAGGCTGGTCCGCCGAATACGAAGCCGAGATACAGTGCGCTGTACAGGAAGGCGTGGGTCCAGTTTTCCTCGAACCAAGCAATTTTCTCCTCATAGTTGAAATTCGTCTCAAAATCAAACGTGCGATAATTTCGATACTGGAATGGATCTATAGACGTATTAAACACCCGCGTAGTCATCCTCGGGATGGTTTACTTCAACGTCGTTGCATCCGCAGAGGAAGCATCAACCCGTATTGTTCAAATCCACCGGGAGTGAGATATTCTGCGAGATGGAAATCGGGTGATCACCGGGCTGTTGTAAAGACGAGCATCCCTCCCCGCGGGCTACTATTAACAAATTAACCATTATGAAACTAAGCACAAACAGTTCATAAGCATAATATCCCTGCTTTCCTGTTTCTGACAGAAAAATTCAACTTGGAAAGAAGCATTAATCCATTCCGCGTAAAATGCGAAAAAAATAAGTACAAAATCCACATTGTAATGGGGTAAGCGATTCTTGTCATACGTAATTTCACGTGGTTGAAGCCAGCCAATCAAAAAATAGCAGCTCGTTTGAAGCTCTAATTATGAACGTTGCTGTTACCCATTGATCATCTTCGCTTGCGTGCGGGAATGGTGTTTTTGAGAAAATTACATTTTTTTAGTTTATAAGATAAAAATTCATATAATTTACATTCCTGTAAGTATGTGAATACCAGCATGTATGTGTAATAATAATGACACGTGATTACCGACATGACACCCGACACCCCCCGTTCGTCAGTGATTCGAACATTTCCTGGGACACGCCGAAACCTCGAATGCGCCATTTCGGAGATATATACAGGGAAACACTAAATACTAAGTATATATTCATTATCTCCGCAATTGTTCGCCAAGACGAGTATAGTACGTACTGTAGCGCGAGTAAGGGAAACCTATTAATATTTACATCCTACGGAGTTCAACACACTTTCGATGACATGATTATAAGGAATCACGATTGTCGTTATTGCGCATGTCCAGATAGCGTGAATTTATTACTAAATGTTCTGTCATAGAGAACATGATCCAATAGAGTACAAATGAATCGAGTAGCGTTATTATAGTTATGTGATTATTTGTTTGTAATTGTCATGCAGCTTTACACTGCCATTTATCCGCGTCTATCAGCTGTTATTATTAAATAACTCTGGCGATGACTGGAGCCTGTTGACAAGGCAACCAATCAGAACTGCCGCATCAGGGATGGTGATGCATCACATTTACTAGCTTTATTTGATTAATAATCATTTTTAAATTGTAGGGCTCGTATTTTCAATTTCAGATATTCATTAAATTTTACTGCATATTTGTTTAATTATTTCGTAATTTGGTCATTTTTGTATTATTTATTTATTTATTTATTTATTTATTTATTTATTTATTTATTTATTTATTTATTTATTTATTTATTTATTTATTTATTTATTTATTTATTTATTTATTTGGTGTTATTTTCTTTTTATATACAAATTTTGTATTCGCGGAAGACCACATAAAAAAGAATATATGATATAAAATATATATAATTTCATTTATTTTACTTTATGTGGGCTTTCACGAATACAAAATTTGTATATGAAAAAAATAAAATCAAATATATAATAAATTTGAACAAAAAAGTGCAGGAACAAAATAAATAAAACTCATAATATATATTTTCCGTTTAATTTAAAAAGTGAATACTCATTCTAAACTTGTGTTTTTACAATAGCAAAAATAAGAAGAAGAAAACTGCCTCATTAAAAAGCCGTTTTATAATTACTTTATAACATTTCTTATACCAGTATGTAGTGCGATATGACGATGTAAATCATAGCTAAAGTCAAGTAGAATATTGGCTGAACACTTATGTACCTATACTCAGCGATACATCTACTACGAAGCAAAGTATGTTTCAATAGAAGCCAGTTTTTTTCAAATCTTCTGGCACTGTAATATCAGGGCCAAAGCAGTACATGGAATTAAAACCAGCTTCTAAACAGATTATTTTTAAATAACAGTTTATACAAAGCATTAGGAGAGCCAACAATTATTTATTCATATGCAAATAAGCTTAGGTTATTCCACCAATGGGATTACAATTATTTATTCATATGCAAATAGGCTTAGGTTATTCCACCAATGGGATTACAATTATTTATTCATATGCAAATAAGCTTAGGTTATTCCACCAATGGGGTTACAATAGACCATTTTCCGTTCACTGCGAGAATCGCGCGTTATGCGTGAAATCGAACGTAACAACAGGACAAACAAAGGTCATAGCGTCGTAGTCGCGTCAAACATCGCGTGGGATTCGACAAACGCGAAAGTATTTCGGGGACATTTCCATGCTTAATAATGTGCTGTCCACATTTGATGATAGGCAATTTTGATTAAGTAAGGGTATTCGGAAGCAATATTCCTCTGTCGAAGATCGGCCGGTCAATGTAAGCTACGAAATAAAGAAATTCTAGTTCAAAATCAAATCGTTCGATTTTTGCAGCAGACGTTCGACGCGCGTCTTTCTTGCATCTCGCGAGATCTCGCAATTGTACGGAAAATCACCTATTACATACACTAATTACAACGGTATAATAGCATGAATGGAATAAATGTTCCATTGTATTCCTAAGTGTTGCAAATCGCTCATAAAGGTGTGGTATATTTTTAAAGTTACATTTCATGTACTGTAAAATGCTTATTTTTTTGCTGCAATTAATTTTCACTGAAAAGACATTTTGGGTATTTTGTGTAGAATTTATTTTCACTGAATTTTGACGAGTTGAATGTAAAATTTAGGAAAAGGGTATATTCGCTGGATTTTATTTTCACTGAATCATTCCTTCAGAGAAAATAGTGAAAATTAATTCCAAGTGAAAATAAAGTATTTTACAATATAATATAAGATTATTACGACAGCGTACTGTCTGAGTGCATACTTTGAGGTATCTTCGTAATAACCTTATTATTATACATCTCTCCCTACCAAGGATACATCATGGGAATGCCGAAATCTAAAAAGTTTAGGACAGAATCAGCGAACTTTTTTGTATGGAGTCCGGCCAAACCCTGGTGGCAGCCATGTTTGTTGTTCTTATTAGAGGACGCTTACGCGCGTAATCGTTCCATATTTGGAATACGCATTCCCTTATATGCGGTGGTAGGATGAAATACCCGTAAAAATTACGGCACGCTGTAACCTATGGCGTTACGGTGACAGATGTACACTAATATTAATTATTTAGCTAGAGGCCAATTTAACAGAAGATTTCTGTGCTTTACGTCCAATAGATACACTACATTTATGAGATTTAATGTAAATACTAAATCGTCCCCTGTGAGAACCACGATGATCGAAGACAATGTTGTAATATATGTACGTGCAAAGTATGTTTGAAATTATTCAATACTCCAAATTTAGTTTAGTTTGGATTGGAAAATGTCCAAATAAAAATTTATATTCGACCATCCAATCTTAAGAACCACGTGCACCGCATTACAATGTTTCGTACAGATTGTTATCAAGTTCTATAGTTAATCATGAATTAAATGTATCTTCAGCTCTGACTGACCTACATAAATTGTGACCTTTGCCGTACAGCCGCGCTCTCGTCTCGTCAATTCTTAACAATCACGTACACCTTATCATAGGGGTAGATCAAAACCATCAGTTTTGCATTGACATTTCAAATGTGGTCAAACTCCGAATAATGACAGTATTCATTGTTTATAATATTCAATACACTGCAATTAGATCAATATGGACACCTCTAAACTACGCCGACCAGGCACTATGCGGATTTATTTATACTTGATTTTAAACTAAATTAATGGCGTCTTACTTTCTTCATGTTCTAAATAAAGGTTATTCAACTATCACTATGCAACTGTGACTATCAAATAAAAGCTGACGCATTCATTGCCAGACTACAGGGCAAGGACGGTGACGCTTGATGTGTGAGACGCAGTTAAGTGCAGTGCGCCGCCATTTATTCTCTAGCTACGCAAAGTGATCTGTTTGAGAAGAAATGATGTGAATGAGAGTGGGGTTTGTTAACTTTTATATGTCAAGCTGTAATAACCTGAAAAAAAACTATCCATCCAACTGAAGTTAAATGAATTGTGAGCAAAATTTTGTTCATCAAGGGTTGACTATTTGAAATCGAAAGGAATTTTTTTGCCACGTGCAAAGATTTCCAAAATTGATTGATTACGCTATTATTCTTAATATAGTATTTGTAATTCCGTGTCACGGTTAAAGAAGGGGGACAATTGAACACAGCTTACGAAAATACCCCTTGCCGACCCTCTTTTAAGAGTAGCTGTTGTTCCTTGTCTGTTTCAAGGGAGAATGTTGTTCTAATTAGCCCTCTAGTATGCTCCTAATTTGAAATCACGGCGCTTTAAAAATACAAATTAAATTAAATTGACTAGAGAGCTTTTTTTCCAGAAGAGTGGCACCAATCTGTAACCAGTCGCGGCCGTCAAACAATGATCAAGAATAATCGATATTAAATATCGATCACTTAACACACCTTTTACCCCTTTGAGTGTACTGGGTTTTATCGTCATAAAACACGAGTACGCTCGTATTGTCTGTTTCATATATAACAAAAAGTGTTAAAATCATGTTGTTACATGGACGCATTTGACCAACTAGTGGAAGGCGTGACAAACAAAGAATAATCGATATAACGTATCACGTGACACCATTTACCCCCTTTAGCGTTTTGATGTTTGCAATCGCGATGTCAGGGACTATCCATTGAAACTCGGGGTAGATTTTGTTCAAACAATAATACAAGAACATTTCATAAAACGAATGTTAAAAAAATAACATACGCATTTAATAGAGGGGGAGACATCATTACAGCTATATCATCCTGAAAAAAGTAATTCGCATTGGTATTGTCTTCTTGCTTTTCATTTTTTTTGTTGGTCAAACCCAAATTTTTTCTATAAGGTCAGCGTCCTTCAGACTCGCTCAAACTTATTTACCGGTACGTCATATCAATTATTCGTCACTATGACCTCTATATTAATTCATGATCGGCCTTTCAGATCAAATCTTTAGCTATTTTTATTGAAACCGCTAATTTCCATGTCTTATTAATTTAACATAGTCATAATCTGTAGCATAATGGGATTTTAATTTGTTTAACTTTTTT